TTTTTTTATCATTTTGCACCACTGAACACGTAGTTGTTTCTGGTCCTCCGGCAATTTCCTGGCAAGTAATTTTTTGACAGTTTCAATAAGTTGTCGTACGGTGATAATATTAAAGTATGTAACCGCAGTCGCCGGCCGACCTTCTCGTACCTCGTCATGGCGATGATCACGTCTACGTCTTAATTCTCCAAACTACGAATACACAAAGCTGCGATATGGTACTTCATCACCAAATGCCAATTGAAGTCTCTGGCAACTCTCTTGTTGACTTGAGCCACAACGAAAATTTTAAAAAATCCTGAGACTTTCAGTATGCCCCACGTATTTGACGTTTTTCATCAAAAAAAATTTTTAATGGTATAAGGGGGCCAACGAGCAGACGGGTCAACTGATGGGAAGCAACCACCGCTGCCCATGGACACCTGCAACTCAGAAGTCACAAGTGCCGCCCTTGGAGTCCCTCCCGCTCAAGTCAGAGGGAGGGGGGATTTCGGCTCCGGTAACCTCCCTCACTCAGTGAAAGGCAACGAAAGAATTGCTTAACACCGGTTTTCTGTTAGTCCGTTGCATCACCCCGATCGAGCCGGCCCATTCGGGCCGAAGCATGGCTCTCCCACGGTTGTAGGCGGTTCTGCTCAAAAAGAAATAAATTAATTTTAAGTTTTTATTGCATGAGCTTACAAAAGGCTGGACTTCGAAGTTTAAGCAATAGTTCGACCAGGTAACCTATGATGTTATGGAGACTTCCACATACAGTGAAACAAAAACATACTTCAGCGCCATCTAAGAGACACCGAAATAAGGAGTACCAGCTAATCCTATATCGCGATATGAAAAGTTCTCAGGTCGATAAACATATTAGTTGTTGGGACGTTGGGGCCCGTCCGCCAGGCAAAAGCACCTCGCCTCGTCGGAAAATCATAACACCCATCTATCTACAGAACAATCCTCGCTGAATAGAATATGACGCGAGCGTCTCAAGAGTTAGTAGAAAATAACAGATGGAATGCTTGGATTAAAATATTTGTTATTACATATAATAAAAAAATACTCATTAAAAGCTTCTAGTAGTTTAAAAATCTGTTTTAACACGCACTTGAACGCTTTACGTCAACACATATTGCGTTTATGATTATTGTAAGCCAAGGTTTGAACGAACGTAACTCAAGTAAAGAAATCTATAATAATGTAACAACGTTCGCGCTAGTCGTATCTGGGGCAGTTTGAAAATCTTTGTATCCTTAGTAGCTATACGAGTATACTCAGAGGTGGAAGTATCAAGAGCCCCTAGGCAAGCATCTCATCAGCACCCCCCGCATCTTTACCTTGCTCATACTATATTAATAGCTAGATACTAGATAACGTTACTAAATGTGTGATCGTAATAACTCCAAATTATAGCTGGCATTTCTTTACTACAATTTTTTTGAAGTAATACTTCTTTACGTACGGTTGACTTGGGAGTAAGCTGGTGAATGCGTTACAAAAACTGTGATCGGGCGAGGCGAACGGAAGTTGAGAGGGAGATGTAAATTAGTGAAGATAGAACGAGAGAGAGTTACGTTTCGTATATTACTGTAGGGACAGGAGAGAGAGGTGCGAGCACACATTTTCTTTCTCTCTTTCTTTTATAGCCAAGAAGTTTTACTTCAGTCGTGTGGTCTAAAGCACACTCGTTTTTTTTTTTAGCTGTGGATACTCCACGAGCTGTCACCTCACCAGTTTTTGCGGTGGAGCATTGTATTGGAATCTAACCGACTAAAACCTAACGGTGTATAAGCTGCGCCTGATATAGGAGGGATCCGATAACAGCATTTATTAAGGCGTAAAGACCTTTAATTTTTTTTGGTGACATGGCCTTAACTATCGCGCCTAGGTCTGCAGTAATGTAAGACGGAAGAGGAGAAGATTTTGTTGCGAAGAAGTATAGAGATAGTATATAGATAAATATAGTAATATAGGTCATCAATGATGATGTCAACAACATATCTTGTCTTATTATTATTATATTATTATTATTAAACTTTAGATATAAGACACACCAATGTATACAAACTGATTTCTTCATTTTTATTATGTTTTTTGTACAATAAAGAGTTATCTATCTATCTATCTATCTATCTATATAATTTTCTTACAAATTTAAAACGTACCGTTTACCAAACTATTACAAAGACATCGACGACATTTGTATCAGTTACAAGTCATCGGGGATCATTACTTTAGTGATATCCACTTTGTTGTAGTATATTTACTGTGTCGCCTAGTTTAGCTTTGTTTTTTGCTAGATGTACAGTATATTTTGCTGTGTATGTGCCTAGTAAATATTCGCTGTAAGTATGGATCCCAAGGTAATTGGATAAAAGCATAGGTACGACTAAACGACGTGTTTCTTACTGTACACGTCACGTTTTGTCGCACAGTCGACGTCATAACACGTCAATTAGAATAATAATAGAATAACATGTTTGCCAGGTATTCCATATAGCATATGGAAGAATTATAGTTGCTTTGATTATGATTACAGTATAACACAGCTTTTATCCCTTTAAAAATACAAAATAACGTGATACTTTCAAGTAGCGATTGCTTCTGTGTCGCAAATATGCGTAAAAGGAATATTTTGGGAGAGCCACGCTTCTGCAAACATGGGCCGGCTTCAAGGGACTCTCAAAAAACCGATGTAAACCAGTTTATCTTTGCTTTTCATCTAGAAACATGGGCCGGCTCCAAGGGACTCTCAAAAAACCGGTGTAAACCAGATTTTCTTTGCTTTCTTTAGTAAGTGAAGGTATAACCCCAAAATAACTCATTACTGAAAAGTAACGCACTTGCGTCTCTTGGGTTGTAGTCGTCTATGAGCGCTGGTAGCCACTTACCATCAGATGACCCGCTTGGTCGTTTAAACCTTTATTTATTTAACTTTAATAAACAGCAAAAATAATTCAATGAAAATACCTCATTAATAAAAACCGTGTGTTAAATGTTACGTCACTTGACAACGTAGATCCTTGGTTTACTTCAATTCCAAACTTACCACTTTAAACTTTCCCTAATTAGATCCTATACCATAAATGAACACAATACAATAGGAAAGTTATAAGCGTAATAGCGAACCAAGTTCGTAGTGACTTGACTACGTCAGAAGGAGGGTAACGTTGTTCGGTTATATATATGTATGTGTGTACATATATTTCTTTGGCACGCTGTCTAATCTAAACGGCTTGTAAAATGGATTATGGTTTAAGAGCTGGTTGTTAGATTCGTTGTGAGAGCTTATTTGTCTCCAAAATTCTTGATGTGTAGTTTTAGACCTAATGTGGAGGAACAGACAGGCTGCTGTCTGGTGCCGCGTCGCCAATTAACTTTAATAAACTATTCTTCCTACAAACTAACTAGGTCCGTGTGGTGACCGATTAAGAATACAGTGTGTCACCACCCCTATTTATCCCGTGGGTGTTGTAAGAGCCACTAAGGGAGAAAACTACGCAGAGCAACAGCACTGCAGAAAGAAGGAAAACTTGACACAAACCCTATACCAACTCGTCTGGCCAGCGTGGTATAGTAAGCCAAAACCTTCTTTCTAAGGAGAGGCTTATGTCCAGCAGTGGACTATTAAAGGCTATTGATGTGATAATGATGATGAAACTATCCTTTAGGGGTATTTACTGTTTTTACAAAAGAGACGTCCCGCGATTTCTTAATTATTTTTTTCTACACCTCGATTGGGTTCAGTTCATTAATTATATTACACTTCTGTAAACTCAACTCTGTGGAAAGTGACGAAAGAATTGCTTATCACAGGGTTTCTTTGAGGCCGTAGTATTACTCCACTCGAGCAAGCCCATTTGTTCCGAAGCAAGGCTCTCACACAGCAAAGTTTCCCTTTTTAGAACTGTGTCAGGAAAGAACAATGGAATTGATTTACAACAGGAAAAATATTATTATTTTCGATTCGAAAGTTCCGACTTGAATATATATCTATGTTATAGGTACGTATTTACGCAATATATGTTTATATTAAATATAGTTAAATTATCAATGTATTTTAACCCAAACTCAAGTCTCGTGTAAACGGGGCCAATTTATGTAGATACTTATATACAGAGGTGTCGGTAACGGTAACAGTGTTCCGAGTTTAATGGTTTTTCCCATCTCAAAAATATATTCTTTTATTTGTTGTTCAAAAATGCCCAACGCTCCTAAAGAAATTTTCACTTCAAAATAATTCTTCGTATATTAACTCTTAATCGATATAACCCGTGCTTTGTACAGATTTTTCTATGTAAATTAGAAGGAATTTTTTTTAAAGTTGACAATACGCGCTGCGCTCCAAAGTCGATAGTCATGTCTAGTCCGCCGGTATTTATTGCGACGCCCTACTATTTAGATGACCTATTTGGCACAGGGTTGGTCCATTGAACCAATAGGGGTTGGTCTTATAGGGGTAACGTTCTTTTTATATTACCCTCGTATAATCTGTGGATGAAATTGTCGATTTTATAGTTGCTGGCAACGCATTTTTTACTCGTTGAGTTGTGGTGTTCAGTGTATCTTGGTTACTTCTTATATATAAAATTATCGTGTCACAATGTTCGTTCCCGTACTCCTCCGAAACGGCTTGACCGATTCTCATGAAATTTTGTGTGCACATTGGGTAGGTCTGAGAATCGGCCAACATCTATTTTTCATACCCCTAAATGGTAAGGGTGACCCATCCCTAATTTTTTTTTGTTTTGCAATACAACGTTTGCCGGGTCAGCTAGTATTTTATAACTTTTTGCACAAATATATGCATTTTCTCTGCCGGTCGACTGATTGGGCGATGCAGAGAAAGAATGACTGCACGGATGACGTAGTGGTTTAAGCGGTCGCCACGCCGCTTCCTACTGCGCCGAGTGTTGTGGGTTTAAACCCCACATGGGACGACACTTTGTGTGATCCACATTTGTTGTCCACATCCACATATGGTATACATATTTGTTTTTTGTTGTACGTGGATGTCGGTACTCGCCGCTCATGCTTGTATCTCCGAAAGGGGTAGTCAGAAGCGAAAGAAACGACAACATTTTGACTACTATACCTTCAGTTCCACTGACGAAATAAAGGGCACGTCTATTGTTGTCAACTGGGCACCTTGGGGGTTTGATAGAGAAATTAGCAGTACATTCATAGGAAAGGTAGGTTAGAAGGCAGTGGTGGAATGGAAAGGGATGGGCAGCAATAGCTCGAGAAGGTCAAGGATGCATACCCGTAATTCGAATTGTGAAGTAATCCGAGTAATCAAAGTAATGGGTCGGCTTGAATGGAGTCGTGGGGGTGTGTGTCAATCCTTTACATGGAAAAATTGAAACAAGGAATAACATTAAGTCAGATAATATTAACTCAGATTAATATATTTACTTCATATAAGTTACAGAATAATTAGTACATATATCACTGATTTTAATTTTTCCAACACCATGACAACGGGCCTGCACGTGCCTTTAATTAATTGTGTAATTGGTAAGAATGTGGGGGTACGTGTCAATCCTCCACAGAGTCATACTGTGGTCTGACAGAAAACCAGTGTTAAGGAATTGTTTCGTTTCGTTTTCACCGAATGAATGAGGTCCCCAGAGCCTCCGTCTCCCTTTTTTTCCGGAATTCGAACTCCGAACCGACTAAAAACCCCACACCGTCTCGGGTACCAGTAGCCGGGGAACCAAGTTTACCTGAAAAGGAATTCCCTGGTACCCTTACATACCACGGGTTATCTAGGCTTGTAGATGCTCCCTCCTGTGTGGGAACCCCGATGTTAAGTTTCTGTCCCCTGATTCTGGAGAGGGTAGCGCTTTGGACTCTGGAGTTGCAGTTGACCCGTCTGGCCATTTGCCCCATACCATAACGAAAAATAAAAAGTAGTGCTTCCGCCTCTGATAAATTAATTAACAACTTACTACACATTGTATTAGGTTCTAACTCTATTAACTGCCTCGGTGGCGCAGTGGTAGCGTGTGCGACTTCTGTTCTGAGTTCTCGGGTTTGATTCCCGGTTCGGACCAAATGTTTGTATGCCCTGTAAATATTTGTTTCGGAGTTTTGGTATTTCTATGTGTAATATTTATGTATTTACAAGAAAGAAGTATATAAATATTCTATCAGTCAATCTTTCATAGCATAAGCTCGGCTTAGTTTGAAACTAGATGGTGTTGTGTGTTAGATGTCCGAAAAAAAATACTCATATTTCCCTTCTGTCTCCAACTTTAGGTTTTACTGCCACTTGAGGTATTTACATTGGCGCCCTAATTGTGACGTCACTGCATGTCAAGGTCATAACTCCTAACGCTATCACATAAACAAGCTGATGGACCTTAAAATAGAGTCCATTCACTACTAATATCAGTCTATGACGTCATAGACTTGTAAACAAGTTGGATAAAATTTCCACGGATAAAGTACTTAGGAACAAGTCTCTCTACTAGATGTTTTTTTTTATTATTCTAGTTGGGTATGGCTCTGCCAATTAATACAATGTTGATTCGACCTTATCCGGTATCGTAACGCATAATCACGTTTACCATGCATACTGAATTTCTCACAAAATATTTTCTTGCAAATATACGTCTCACTAGCGTCACTTTATTACAGTTAATTTTCACACTTACTCGTTGACCCACGCATTGCGTGTTACAGTTAATAAGTGACCAGACAAGGACAGATGTTGAACTTAACACAAACTGTTTAAGAAATAGCTGCTCTTACTACGTCACAATAAAGTGCAAACTCGCACCTCCGCTTTTATCGTTCTTTTCAACCCTACACACGGCCGTCTGCTCCCAAACTAGGCAGAGCCTTTTCTACGGTAACCAGACTGCTCATAAACATACTTATATATTTCTAAAGACATACGTATTATAAATAAATTACACCCAGACTCAACAAAGTGTTCACGCAATTATTTGTCTTTTTATGGTGTAGGAATCAAATGAACAGAAGTATCACCTGATTGTGGATGGACTTAAAAGACACAAATGCCCTTCGAGAGTAGCCCCCTCCCCCTCTGCCCCATCAGCCCCCCCCCCCCAGATTATTATATGTTTGCCTTACATATATGTTTCACCGGAATCCACTGATACGAATCCTGTTCGTTTCTTATATTTGTTGTCTAGTAAGACTAAAATATACACATGCATGAAGATCATTCTAAAGTTGGTCGTTCGCTGCCGAATCGATAAAATGTTTTGCCTATAGACGAACTAGGTGTCAAAATATCTCTGCGTGCTAGCAAATGATTACGTATTTGGTCTAGGGTTGCCACATGGTTGGGATTCGTTTTCATTGTCCCTACATTTCATTTGATGATCGGCAACAATAAAAATGTACTTTACTACCAAACTGTGCTTAATCAGAGAACTAGCGATCCGCCCCGGCTTCGCGAAGGTGTAATGTAGATACTACTAACCTGGTGTCAGTGTGGATTACTTAATTACATTATTATTATGATAAGACCATAATACAGGTCATCTTTATATGCAATATTTATAGGCTCGCCGCTCGCCCCCGCTCATGCCGGCCACTGCCATCCGGGACGGACGAACCCCCCGACGACGCGGCGACTGCCGCTTTACTCCCGTATTTTAAATCTGAGACTTATTGATTTATTATTATTATTATATTACTTATTATTATATGCTTATTATTACTTATTACTGAGATATTCATTTTAATCATGATGCTGTAAAAGGCAATTTTGATCTACATTAAATGCACAACGAATCTAACGTATTTATTTGGATAAGTAATAATATTGTATTATTTAAAATAGCTTCATAAATAACCCATTATTTTTTGTAATATTTCAAAGATAAAAATAGTTACTGTAAGTTATCCTTAGGAGATAGACATATACCATCGCGGACTTTTTCGTAGATCCATGAATATATATGTATACTCGTACAATTCAGTTGTACATTATTATCGACGTTGTAGACGGAGTCGTATGAGAAGCCCCGATTTTGCTTACTGTACTCTTAGCCATACTTACGTAATATGGAGCACGCCTAGTTTTTTTTTTATATTTCGAACATCTGACACAGGCCATCTAGTTCCAAACTAAGCAGAGATTGTACTATGAAAGCTAGGTTGACTAATAGAAGACTTAGATACTTTTCTTTTTATAAATACATACATATTATACATATAAAACACCCAAGCTCGGAAACAAACATTTGCAGATCATACAAACATTTGGTCCGACTCGGGTATCAAACCTGAGACCTCAGCTCGACAGTTGTTGCATACGCTACCACTGCACCACCGAGGCAGTCAAATTAAAAATCAAATTGCTGTCATCCGGACACTTTCGGGAATCACATTTTACTAAGTAGATGGGGCCAAAAAGTTCTGGAGTCTCAACCACGTACCGGAGCGTGGGTAGGCCCCTACAAGGTCTTCTGACGTCCTGGTGTATGTCGCAGGAAGTCGTTGCATGCGGACAGCACAGGACCGGTTGTTGCGGAGAGCCTTGGGGGAGGCTTATGACCAGGTGTGGACTTCTTTTGCTGAGATAATGATGATGAATTAGATATTTTTTTCTTCTTTTTTTAAAGACAACTCCCGCATTAGGAATATATCCTGAGTCGCGGGGGACTTTACAAACATACACGAAACGGACACAAATAACACCCAGACTCAGAACAACAATTTGTGGATCGCACAAAGTGTCGTCCCATGTGGGGATTCCCGCACAAGTCATACATTTATGGGCATAAACAATGTTTGATTTAGTCTGAATGTTTCAATATGATGATGATGATATGGTCTGCAAATAAAATAAAAACCCTTTTTTTGCTTGTTCACAGAACTCCGGAGCTTCTCACAGACACGAAAGCCTCGGAATGGGATTTGTCCCATGATATAGACGTAAACTATCTCCAGAACACCCCAAGACTTACAAGAGAAGAAAAAAACGATATCGAAGTACTATATAAGAATAAATATGTACCATTAAACAAAGTAGGAGAGTTTAACTTCACTCTGGGACTTGGTGAAGAAGAAATAGTAGAGACAGACAACTCTATCGATAGATTTAAGAGGAACATTCCAGATAGTATAACATTTGCATTAGAAACTTCTACAGACTCCTACAGAACTGTTACTAAAAGTGTAGAAAGTGCCTCCGCAGAGACGGAGCGCCAGGAGATCAGTAGAAGAACTCGACAAGTGACACGTGAAATGGATTTCACCAGTGTGAGAGCTGATCCCATAATTGTAAGTGTAGAAGGACTTCGGATAGAAGAGTCAGAAAAGGACCCCAAGATTACTGAAAGTGGTGTTCCCAGCATCTTGGCTGATACCAAAGTAACTTTAAGGTATGTAAATAAATACTAATATTATATAATACTAATTATAAATGCGAAAGTGTGTCTGTGTGGGTGAGGAGGTGGAAATTTGTATTTGCAATCAATAACCGGTGAACCGATTTAAATGAAATTTGTTATAAAGACTTTTTCTTTTATATTTCGGACACAACGCCATCTAGTTTCAAACTAAGCAAAGCTATGTACTATGAAGGTCGATTGACTGATAGAATACTTTAGTAAATACACAAAAGACACCCAAACTCCGAAACAAACATTTGCAGATCTTACAAACATTTGGTCCGGCCGGGGAATCGAGCCCGAGACCTCAGCAAAGCAGTCGCATACGCTAGCACTGCACCACCGAGGCAGTTTGATTCTTGAGAAAAGACATAGGCTACTTTTTCCACGATAACCGACATTTACCCGGGCTGAGCCGCGGGCAAGAGCTAGTAAATAATAAATGTTCGTTTGCGGTACCTCAAAGACGCAGACGCACTTGTGGCTCTTAAATTGTAAGGTTTCCGTAGGCGCCGGTGGCCACTTACCATCAGCTGACAAACCAGCTCGTTTGCCCCTAATAAAGAATAATAATAAAACCTTCACACATCTCACACGGCCGTCTAATCCCAAACTAGGTAGAGCCTGTGCTATGGTAACCAGACTGCTGATAAACATACTTATATATTTCTAAATACATACGTATTATAGATAAATTACATCCAGATACAGAACAAATCATCGTGCTCATCACACAATTATTTAACCTGGGTGGGAATCGAACCCACGACCTCCAGCTCAACAGTCAGGGCCACTAACCACTAGACCAACAGGCACGTCAAATAATCTATTAAAACATATAATAGGCTGCCAGGAGCTTGGATGCTCGGATGAACCGATTTCGACGGAACTTTCACTGGCTGATAGCTGATGACATAAGGAGTAACTTAGGCTACTTTTTTTAGACTAGCTCCGCCCCGCGGCGTTGCCCGCGGTTATAACAACAAACGCGGGTAACACCGCGGGTCTCAGCTAGTTATACATATGATTTTTGACATATAAACGACGGGTTATAATACACTCATTAACTAGGTGTAATCCATGGTCCAGATCGTCTAAAGTAAGCTGAGTATCTTGGATATTATGTTTCTTTTTATTTCATAAAAAAAATAAGTTTTTTATTGAGGTACACACAAATATGCGAAGCGCGCTCGCTTCCAGGGAGCACAGGGAACATGGGGTTCCCACACGGGGCGGGGGTCGTCTACTCGTCTGTAGATGACCCGAGGTATGTCGGGGCACCAGGGCCTTCCTTTCTAGGGTATACCTGGTTCCCCGGCTATTAGTACCCGGCGAAGGCGTGCGGTTTTAGTCGGTTAGAGTCCGACATGCCACCGACAGGTGGTATCCGAGGGGATTTCCGCACGGAAAAAAAAAAAAAAAAAAAAAAAAAAGGTACACACAAATAACGGAGTTCTGAAGAAAAAAAACATACCAAATAATACAGCCGAATTTAGGATCCTCCCCCTTTTTTTTAAAGTCGAATAAAGATCTAATTAAATCCGGGTGCAAATAAGCTGCCAGTTGTATAAATGTATGAATAACGAAATAAAATTGTGTTGTTCTAGGTTATTCGGTAGCGGTCTAACATCTAGAACAGTGATAGCTTTCACACATGAGCTGCAGGATGCTGGTCAACCGTGCAAGTTCCTGGTCAGAGGAGAATACATGGTAAGAAATACTAGTGTATTTGATGTATATGATACTAAAGCATTTAGAGGAGGATTCCGGTATAGTGCAACAAAATGCTGGAATAATTTGCCACTGCCACTCTGTAACCTTGTGAGTTGTAATACTTTAAAAAAAGTAAAGGTGTTACGTACAAAAATCCAGCACTCCGTAATACAGAATAGACCTCGTAATGTTACTAAATTATTTCACATTAACATCAACAGCCTTTAACAGTCCACTGCTGGACATGGGCCTATCCTTAGAAAGGAGGTTTTGGCCTACTATACCACGCTGGCCAGACGGGTTGGTATAGGGTTTGTGTCAAGTTTCCTTCTCTCTGCAATGCTGTTGTCCTGCGTATTTCGCTCCCTTAGTCGCCTCTTACGACACCCACATGATGAATAGGGGTGGTGACACTCTGTATTCTTAATCCGTCACCACACGCAATTATATAATCTGTATATGTTTTGTTCTCTGTTCTTATATCTATCAATTACCAATTAACTTGTTATTTGATGTTTTTATTATATTGACAGGATGTATGTATGTAATTATCACATGTATGTTTATAGTATTAAAACTGTGCAAACGTCCGTAAGGTACCTTTAGGCTTCAGCTGAAAATCAGTCACTTTAAGGGGCCATAGCAATGTCTGAATTGTGGCCCTTTTTTACACAATAGATAATTTTATTCTTCCGTAATTGTTTGTGTTGTTATTATTTGTGCTATTCCTTAGTTGTTTGTTATTGTTTGTGCTATTTTTTATGTTATATCTCAAATTTTTTGTGTTGTGTGTGTGTTGCAGCTAATAAACATATTTTCTTTCTTCCTTTTTATATAGAGGCTCCAAGGTTGTAATAGAAATTACAGCAATGGAGATAAGATGAAATACTGAGGGTTCCAAAAATTAAGTTTACGAGAAAGTCAACTCTCACTGAGATTTCATAGATAGTTGACTAGTTATTACTCGCATGATTATTCCTTATTTCGTGTTTCTAACTTTGTAACTGACGAACTTCCACACAACCGTTCACCCCTTATTTTAACCCCTTGGCGCTAAATTTCCAAAAGTCCTTTCTAAGTGGGTGATTACAACATGAAAAGCATCTGATGCCAAAATGTTGAGTTTGTAGCCCCAACGGTTTAAGCTCTGAGTTGATGAATCAGACAGTCAGTCAGGGCAAGTAAATTTAAATGTGGAGTTAATCCTCTTGGGCAATAATGACATCATAAACGTACGTAATGACTTCTAAAAATCGTAAGACTTTTAAAATTCAAACGATTTTTAGACACATGCCATAAAATTTAGGTCATTCAGAGTTCGTCATTTCGGCTCGATTTGATTATGACCTATGAGCAAAGTCTTGTAATAAAAGTCCGTTCATAATTCCGTTCCGATCAACTCTCGATCTCGCAACTGTCATAAAAGGTAATTTTGTAGAAAAGTAGTAAAGTATTACTAGCAGATTTTCTCGATTTCAAATTGTGAACTTTTATCACGAGAATCGGCCTTCTGCTTACCGAAGAAGAAAAAAAAAACAAATAAATTTATTTACCCGATATGTTCTGTAAATATACATTTGGAAAATCAATTAGTGCTGAGAGCATTAACAATTTTGGAAATTGCGATAATTAGACAACATTATAATTCGCATGCACGAAAGACGTGTACCTCCATTTCATGACTATAACCCAAAATGCTTCATTTAATCTTTTACGTAGACAAATACCACTACCATCAGTCAAACTCACACGATACTCGAATTTAAGAGAAACTTGTGCACTGACCTATGCTGATGTATCATGGGCGAGCTATGAGCCGAGTCGACCGGAGTTGTACTAGGGTCTCATAGAAAACCGGTGTTATGCAATTCTTTCTTTTCGTCTCTCTTATTTGTGGCAGGGGGGAGCACTTAAAGGGCAGTTGGCGGCGGTAGTCACTAACCATCACGTGATACATCTGCCTTTCTGCCCCCTATTTCCTTAAAAATATACCTGTTTGTAGCAATATGCTGAAATATCATAGCGTTTATGTCGCACTTAAAACTAAATAATTTCTTTGGCAAACAGTACTACCCCTACTATTTCTCGATACCAATTAACATACCTTATTTACAGGTAAAACAAGGATCTCTAGAAAGAAGAACAGCTTTATTCGACATCATCGCACCAGCACCAGGTCTTGACGGCAAACTTTATGTATGTGCCAAAAACTTAAAAGCCGGGATCGATGACCCATTTAATGACGAAGAAAAATACATACATCAAGGCACAGAGACATATAAAATGCTGGAGTCCCATAAAAAATTGCTACCTCTTTGGGCCACAATGATTTTAATATTAACATGTCTGACATTTTCCGCCTTATTCTCCGGTCTGAACTTAGGTTTGATGTCATTAGACCGCACTGAGTTGAAAATTATATCAAATACAGGAACAGAGAAAGAAAGGAAGTACGCCAGAGCAATCATGCCGGTTAGAGATCACGGGAATTACTTGTTATGTAGTATTCTTCTTGGCAATGTGGCTGTGAACTCAACTTTTACGATTCTTCTCGACGAGTTAACTTCTGGACTGTTCGCGGTGATATTTTCGACTTTGGCGATCGTGTTGCTTGGTGAGATTACGCCGCAAGCGATTTGTTCGCGACATGGTCTGATGGTAGGAGCCAAGAGTATTATGGTGACAAAGGTTAGTTTATATTTAAGTAAATAGCGTGCATATTACTGTGATGGGACCAATTTTGTTGAGTGAATGAGTTTTGTTTGCGTTTTATGTCGCAGTGTATATAGGTGTGCTTTTATTTACCAACGAAAGTACAACAGCTTTCTAGAAGCCAAATAAGTGTAGTGAGTGCTGATGGCAAGCGGTTACCGGTGTGTATGAAACTCGTGTTGTAGCTTGCCTTCATGCATCCTCCGAGACTTTTTTTACGCTAGGTTGGGGGTCTCATTCAGTCTCCTACTGAATTTCTACATAAATACATTCCACATACATACTGAACATCTACTCTCGATGGCGAGCGCGTTCGGCGTTGTGATTGGTGAAGAGTTCAATGCGGACCAATCCCAACGCCGAACGCGTTCACCGTGACAATCGAGTAAATGTGAAATAAACTCACAAGTGAGATAGCATTTTGAAGATTTTTTATGTTGTATATTGAATTCGGCTCATAGTGTTCCTTGACTTTCGAAGAATATCCTCTATTATAATCTTCTTTCAACAGGCTGTGATGGCATTGACGGCACCTCTAGCGTTCCCAGTCAGTAAACTCCTGGATTATTTCCTGGGAGAAGAGATTGGCAGCGTTTATAATAGAGAAAGACTTAAGGAGCTCGTAAAGGTAAGTCCTTAATACTCGTATTTTTGGCAAATTCTTGTACATGCAATAATTAGCGAACAAAAAAGATGTTATGTAGACAATAGTCCATTGGTTGCGGGTTTATTTTTTATTGTAAAGGGGGGGGGGGGCAATCGGATTATCTGATGGTAAGTGCCTACCGCCATCCATGGACACCTGCAACTCTAAAAGTCCCAAAGGCGTTGCCGGCCTTTAAGCCTTCCCCTCCCCCCTCCCCGATCAGACGGATGAGGGGTTTGGGCTCTGATTACCCAACTTACAGAACAGAAGAATACATTAAAATGCAATACTCTGCATGTTCCTATATTTAACATGTACAATTAAGGTTTTAAAAAAAAAAGTATCGAAAAATGTTCCAAGTTATGTTTATTCTAGTATGCGCTTTGTATACTAATTCAACACTGATACGTGAACACACACTCATACACACAAACACACACACATATGCATATATCTCACATGCATAAAATCAACCGACATCATAATTGGGGTCCGGCACTGTAACTCCTCATCACAAGCTGCTCAGTAGCCTATCTGGGAGTGCAGTACTGAACCCAAGTTTTAGTTAACATTATCAAAATTGTTATCCATTGTACTCAATACATGTATACCCATTTTTTTTTGTTTAATCAATTATAACACTAGGAAATCAAAATGATCCTGCTCCAGGTTACGACAGACGTCAACGACCTGGACAAAGATGAGGTGAACATCATATCTGGTGCTCTAGAACTTCGCAAGAAGACTGTGTCAGACGTGATGACCAAGTTGGAGGATGTGTTCATGCTGCCCATCAGCTCGGTGCTGGATTTTGAGACTATGTCGGAAATTATAAAATCTGGTGAGTAAATTGCAATTTTTTTGATATTATAAAATCTGGTGAGTAAATTGCAATTTTTTTGATGTCTTGATGATTTTATTTATTCATTTTACAAATGGACACGGTACATCTTAATTACAATTTTTGTTGGGTAACATGCGGGTATAGATACTAGTGGCAGTGAACGTTGGTCCTACGAGCCGGAATTGCTCGAAGGCGGGCGTCGCACGATAATCGATATTTTCAAAAGAAGGTTTCGTTTCATTCATGCAATGGTTAAAGAGGTCGCCTCGAGACTGTTGTGGGTTCGATTCCCACAAAAATTACTTGATCTTGCCTAACAAATCACTTTTTAATCATTGATTTATCAATTTTAAAATAAAAAATATATCAAATATTAGAAAATATAACGATTTAAGTCCTAAATAACCATAAGTCTCGAAAGAATGTCACATCATCCCTCGAACGAGCTGGTGATGATTATTACGTGGTTTTATCTCCTCAGGTTATTCCCGAATCCCAGTATACGAAGGCAGCCGTACCAACATTGTCACGGTCCTGTTCATCAAGGATCTGGCGTTCGTAGACCCTGACGACAACACACCACTTCGCACCCTCTGCCAATATTATCAGAACCCTTGCAATTTTGTTTTCGAAGATGTCACCCTGGATGTCATATTTAAGCAGTTTAAAGAGGGTAACTTTGTCTTTATTATTCTAATTACTTATTTATTTAACATTAGGTATCCATTATATTGGGGTAGTGACGATCCGTCACTACACGGACATTTCATCCCGTGGGTGTCGTAAGAGCCGATCAAGGCACGCAGGCAACGCATGACACCAGCAGCAAAAAGAAGGAAACTTAACACAAATCCTATACCAACCCGTCTGGCCAGCGTCGTATAGTAGGCCAGAACCTCCTTTCTAAGGAGAGGCCTATGTCCAGCAGTGGACTATTAAAGGCTGTTGATGTGATGTGATGATCCATTGTATTTTGAACATATTATTTTATTTTAAAAAGCTCATGGGTAAGTGTTATCTGAGTAGCTGTTTAAAACATTGCAAAGTTAAGTAATCCCAGACAGGTCAGTCTATAGACGGGTGACCATTCTTTAATTCTTAACAGATTTAGCCCCTCCATGCCTCGGAGAGCTCATTAAGCCGTCAGTGCCGGTTGCCATAAAAAATAATAAGGTCTAGAGTACTTAAAGTCAAAAATAAGGCTAGAAGAAAGTTGTGGAAAAATAGACTGATGAACTGTTTTCACTCTTTATACAAGTTTTTTTGAGCTTTTTACAATTGGTGTCTTTTACTCCGGCAATTTGCCGGTTGCCATACGAACATCTGTCTTCATCGTTAGGGGTAGATGGTGAACTAAAAAGTCCAACAACAGTCTTTCTGCAGAACTTCGATATCGCCAAGTACTTGGGTTGTGGAGGACTGATGACAGTCGCTCCGCGTAAAATGTTGTTGATGATAACATCTGAAACCTAACTTTTAACTAGTCTGCTCGGATTTCGCAGTGGTTTAGGTGATTGCCTCGCCACTTTAAACTGAGCTGAGTGTTGTGGGTTCATCAACACACGGAACAACACTGTATCGTCCACTAATTGTTGTTCTGAGTCTGGGTGTTCTTTGTGTTCGTTTCATGTATGTTTGGAAAGTCCCTCGCAATACAGGATATATTCATGGTGCGGGTGTTGTCTTTTATTCTTAAAAAAAAATAGGGCTAACAAAGCATCATTCTCTGATACTTTCATCACCAGGTCACAAAGGACACATGGCGTTCGTTCACCGCATAAACAACGAAGGTGAAGGCGATCCCTTCTACGAGACCATCGGCCTGGTCACGCTGGAGGACGTCATCGAGGAACTGATACAAGCTGAGATCGTGGACGAAACCGACGTATTTTGTATGTATTATCAGTTACTAGAACCTGAACCTACCATGAACTGCTCCATCCATAAGTATAAGTTTTTATTTTTAATGGTATAAAGGGGCAAACAAGCAGACGGGTCACCTGATGGTAATTAACTACCCACGCCCATGGACACCTGCAACTCAAAAGTCACACAAGTGCGTTGCTGCCCTTGGAGTCCCTCCCGCTCGAGTCAGCGGGAGAGGGGGATTGGGCTCCGGTAACCTCACTCACTCAGTGAAAGGCAACGAAAGAATTGCTTAACACCGGTTGTCTGTGAGGCCGTGGTATCACTCCGGTCGAGCCGGCCCATTCGTTCCTACTTGTGCGGGGTAGGCGGTGACGGGATTGCACAATCTTAAGATATAGGATTGAATGTATTTATGTAAACCTAAAATCAAGCCTTTCTCCATTCAAGAAAAGAGCGTACTCCTTCCTAAAAGGCCGGCAATGCGTTTGTGACTCCCGAGCTGCAGACATTAATGGGCGCCGATGGTCACTTTCCATCAGATGACCCGTCTGCAACTTCTAACATAAAAAAGAAACAAAATTCCAGGTCGTCAGAGACGACATACCGTCACTTGCATCTATCCTGTTTCTACGGGCCTGTTGGTCTAGTGTAGGGATTCACATAGTCGTTGATATCTCTTTTTGGGGGTGGAAATCGGTTTCCCAGGAGTCGAGATAAACGAAAACTGATTTTGGGGGTGGACGAGGTCTAAAAATCAACCCCTGTTAATTAACACAAGTTCTCATTTGAAACTTTCAAGAAACTGTGTTAGTTGTGTTATGTGTACTAAGAATGAGAATGACAAATGTTTTAGTAGGAATATCATTGTTTTACTTTAAAAAAACACAACAAGTCAATAAGCGTGCGGTAATTTGTCTATGGGGGTCTTAAGTATCAATTTTAATAATAGTAATTGCTAATACATATATTGGGGGAAGACACTGGCACCTGCAACACAGTCTATACTAGCGCGGGCGTCAGAGATTCCTGTTATAATTGTACAATATTTATTTCAATAAATATTATTATTATTAATTCATTTTAGAAAAGGGGTCTCTTGCCCAAAACAATTTGGGAATCCCTGGTCTAGTGATTCTGACTGCTGAGCCTGAGGTCGTGGATTCGATCCCATTTGAGACAAATTATTGTGTGATAAGCACAATTTATTCTGTGTCCGGGTGTAATTTATCCATTATATGTATGTATTTAGGAATATATAAATATGTTTATCGGCAGTCTGGTTACCATAGCACAGGCTCTGCCTAGTTTGGGATCAGACGGCCGAGTGAGATGTGTGAGTTTTATTATTATTAATTCATGCTGGCGTTGATTCAGACCCAATTTAGATATAAATCTAATTTGTTTATAATGTTTTGTTCAACAGTGGACAACCGGTCTAAGCGTCGTCGCTACAAGCCACAGAACAAGCTGCAGGACTTCACTGCGTTCGCTGAACGTCACGAGAACCAAAGGATACATATATCGCCACAACTCACGCTTGCCACTTTCCAGTTTTTAAGTACAAGTGAGTAAACCTTGCCAATTGACTGAATAAATTGACTATTTTGACAAACAAGTTTTTCTTTATTAACGTACTTCCTCTTGGAATCTAGTATTAATTAACAAGTTGTCTTGTCAAATCTTTGGTGGAAATAAAGGATTTTTTTTCAGTCATGAAAACAGTGTGGTTATTGAGACAATAATATTATGATAAAAAGGAAAGTACATAAATATATCACTGTTAAAAATATAATATTCAGAATGGCGACGCATCGCCACACAGCATTACATGTTACTTACACTACCGCGTATGGTCAACGACTCCATTGCGGTGTCGTATAGATTTTTTTTGGTTGCCACAATAGTAATTTGGCAACAACACATAGCGTAGGCAATCGCATAGCGTGGCGACGCATGCCATGGCGACGCGTCGCCGCATTGGATCAATAAATATTTATACTGCTTTTTAGGCACACATATCGTGCAAATAACCGTGTGAGCATGAAAAACCCTGATATTTTGACATTACAAAGAGTCACTAAATTTTTTTTTTGGATAGATAAGTCATTGCCCGCGGTATTGCTCGCTTTAAATCGATAATGGCACTACATTTTTCCTAAAGAGAGACTCAGAGAAAGAGAGTACTTGAACTTTTTCTAGAGTTATTAATAATTTATCTCTTAATTTCTTCCAGGTGTTGATGCCTTCAAACCCGACACGGTCTCGGAAACCGTACTCAGGCGTCTTCTCAAGCAAGACGTCATCCAACATATAAAACTGAAAGGGAAGACCAAAAAAGATCCTAGCACTTACGTATTCCAACAAGGGAAGCCGGTGAGTTCACTATTATATGTATAAAGAATATATCTATCATCTGTGTGGTGACGAATTAAGAATACGTAGTGTCACCAGGGTGGTGATTTCAATCAGTATTGTCATCAATAACAAAAACCTTTTATAGATAGGAAATCAACTAAAACCCTTTGCTGATCTACTTTGCTCAGATCAAGGTCAAGAGATTTGAGGATGATGATTAATCTACCCTTTTGTATAAAAAAATTGTCGTGGGAGAGCTTTACTTCCGTGTGGTGACGCGGATGCGGAGTATACCAACCTCTATTCATCCCGTGGGTGTCGTGAGAGCCGACAAAGGAGCAGAGAACTACGCAGCACGACAGCACTGCAAAGAGTAGGAAATCTTGTCACAAATCCTATACCAACCCGTGTGGGGGCCTGATGTAGTAGGCCAAAACCTTCGTTCTAAGGAGAGGCCTATGTCCAGCAGTGGACCATTAAAGGCTGATGACGATCTACGGGCTTCCTGAGTATGTATTTCGGGATTGTATGTACAGTGTAGCATCTCACAAGTGCGGAAGTTCGCTTCGCTAAAAATCCTCTGTAATGTTTTTTATAGTTTTCGTATATCCCGTAACACTAGCCCAATAAAGTCGAATCAAAATCAGTGCAGTAGTTTAATCGTTATAACGTAACATATGAATGCACATACATACAACAGAAGAAAATATTTTCTGTCGTTTTGTTTCCTTTTTTTTTATTGAAATTATTTTCAATCAAATATCTTTGGTTCAACATTCAGGTGGACTACTTCGTATTGATCCTCGAAGGTCGTGTGGAGGTGACGGTGGGGCGAGAGAACCTGGTCTTCGAAGCTGGACCCTTCACTTACTTCGGAGTGCAGGCACTCACGCAGAACGTCGGTGTCGGTGAGTTTATGTACCAAACTTCCGAACAGATTCACACCAAAACATGATAAGGATCATTCCTACTGATGAAATACTACACATCTTCAACCATGGGAGGAATATGCTTTGCCAAGTATGACGTTTTGACTGCTTCGGTGGTGCAGTGGTAGCGTATGCGACTGCTGTGCTGAGGTCTCGGGCTCGATTCCCGGGTCGGACAAAATATTTGTATGAACTGCAAATATTTGTTTCGGAGTTTGGGTGTTTCCTATGTATAATATTTATGGATTTACAAAAAAAAAGTATGTGAGTATTCTATCAGTCAATCTAACTTTCGTAGTATAAGCTCTGCTTAGTTTGAAACTAGATGGCGTTGTGTGTGTCAGATGTCCGAAATATTTATTATTAATTATACGCATGAGCCGGTTGAAATAACGGTCTCACCGAAAACCGGTATCACCGAGCTGACTAAGGACAACAGCACTGTAAAGAGAAGAAAAACTTGACTCAAACCCCTCTTGCCAGCGTGGTATAGTAGACCAAAACCTCATTTCTAAGAAGAGGCCTGTGTCCAGCAATGGACTATTAAAGGCTGTTGATATGATGATGTGTGTAGCTTATTAAGTATAGGCAATAGTTTAAAGCCCTCAAACATTGTTTGTCCACAGCTGAGTCTCCGACGCCATCAGCGATGGGTTCCCTCCAGAACATAAACATGGACGCGATGCTGCGACACACGTTCGTGCCAGACTACTCCGTCAGAGCCATCGCGGAGTTATTCTACTTGACTGTCAAACGGTATGTCTTTTTCTTTTTTATAAAAAGACAACGCCCGCATTAGGAATAAATCCTGTGTAGCGGGGGACTATACATACATAAACATACTAAACATACATGAAACGGACACATAAAACACCCAGACTCAGGACAACAATTTGTGGATCACACAAAGTGTCGTGCCATGTGGGGATCGGACCCACAACACTCAGCGTAGTAGTGAGCGGTGAGGTGACCGCTTAAACCACTAAGCCATCCCTGTCGTCAGTTATTTTCTATAATACTTAGTAGCATATGTGACTGCTGTATTGAGGTCTCAGGTTCGATACCCGGGTAGGACCAAATGTTTGTATAATCTTCAAATTATTGTTTCGGAGTTTGGGTGATTTATATGTATACTGTGTATGTATTTACGAAAACAAGTATAAAAGTATTCTATCAGTCAGTCTAACTTTCATAGTACAAGCTCTGCTTAGTTCGAAACTAGATGGCACTGTGTGGCAGATGTCCTGAAATTTTATTATTATAATTGTAATTTATGGTCCATTGATATCATTGTTCGTTTGATAGGCTTAGGGCTTAGTGATACTTACTGCTAAGCATGAGGTCTTGGGTTCGATTTCCACCCTGGACAAATAATTATGTGATGAGAACGATCATGTGTCATGTGGCTGGATGCAATTTAAGGATATTAGTGTGTAGCGTGGCAGGGGCCCCCAAAGGTTAAGCGACCTGTCTTGTCGATCTCAGTAGGGCGTCAAATACCAATGTGTGTTTACAAACCAAATATTTATTTCATTAATGCTTTTCAGATCTCTCTACCTAGCCGCAAAGCGAGCCACACTTATGGAGAAAGGGGCGCTGTCTAAAGGCGCTACAAACGAACAGTTTGATACTGAAGTAGATAAGGTAAATACTATTTTTATTCTGACAATACAAATATGATTTATTTTAGTCTGGCAACACAAGAAACGGTCAAAATTCAAAATATTTCCATTACTTGAGTGGTAACTCTACGTACAACGATGAAAACTTTCTTCAACACCACCTAACGAGCACAGACCGCACTACGCAGCAACTATTCTGCATCGCGCAATAAAAGTTCTGCCGCCGATTAGTATAATAATTTTACTGCTGGACCGTGGCCCGATAGGTGTGTTCGATCCTCACCTGGTCGATCCTCCCTTTGTGTTGTGTTATAGTAGTATTCATAAATTAGAAGACACAGTGACAGCGGGAAAAAAACTAGTGATCAACAGTTCATACAGTATTTTTTTTTTAATCATTTATTCATAAAAAGAAATTACACAAGTTGATACGTTAACAATTTTATATAAAAGATAAACACCTTAAAACTGCATTTTATAATATATTAGTGTTTCTACATAGCACATACGTTCTACGAGTATGTACAAGCACCAACCTGAAGGCTAAATATATAGATTGATTGGCTTTCGACGCTCTAGACTCCTTCTCGAAAGGTTTCGAGACGGAGAAAGAGAGACCCCCCTCTCTTTCTCCGTCTCGAGACCTTTCGAGACTCTTACAAATTTTTCAGTTAGACCTTTTAACGTAGGGCAGCCATGCTTTTTTGCCTCATAGAAAACTGGTGTAATGCAGCTCTTCGTTGCTTTTCACCGAGTGAGTGAGTGTAGCGAAGAGCCAACCCTACCTTCCCCTATTGTTGGAAGAGGGACACTCGAATCACGACAACACACTTGTGTCTCCGGGATTCCAAGTGTCCGGCGGTAGTCACTTATCCTCGGGAATCGGGAATCGTTTGTCCTATAAAAAAAATATTTTAGGTATTTGATTCATTCTATCACTCCTCCATTAATCCTCAAATTTGCAGAACCTCTGTAACTCTTCGAATAACATACCAATATCAATGAAATCAAAGAAACTGCTTGGCAAGTCGGCTAGCACAGCCTCCACTAGGATCACAGAGGACTTTGGATCTACCTCCATGATAAACAAGGTTCATTTTTATAAAACATACTCGAGTATTCAGAACTTTTTAGATGTTAGTTTTTTTTTAATGAACTTATTAAAACAAAGCTTTGTATTTATGTCGTTCTATGCTGTAATATAGGGGAATACTTATCTGTAGATCCCATTCAAAAGGGAGGAGGGGGCATACCTTCTAAATTGATCTATCTTAAAGATGATGTGTTATAAGGAAGACAGGTATTTCACCTCCACCTACGGTAGTTATTTTTTGTTTCCAATATTTTGAAATAATTACAACGGCAACTCTAAAATTAATTCATAATATTTAGTTTGATTTTAAAATATATTTTTTTGACTACCCTCAATCCTAATAAATTTATCCTGTGTACATTTTTAGTAAACAGATTATTGATAAATGTTTTGAATGTAGATAAAATTCCAAAAGAAATAGTTAATTTTTATACTGTATTTAGTTGTTTGTTGACAATACTAACAGTTGGCTAAAATCTGTCAGGTCGGTATAGAGATAGTAATCAAATTTTAGTATTACTACAGAAATTAGTACAATAAATCAAGATTTTTTCTATTTGTAATACTCAAAACCTCAGATCGACTCCTTAGCCTAAGTAGAACCGAATTATTAATAGTCTAATATGCAATTAATAATAGTTTAAAAAGCCTGTCTACCCCTTCTGGATACACCCGTGAATAAGTACCAAGTAATCACAATAATACAAAATTTTCCTTAAATGTTATACATAGCTTTTAAAAGTATAAAGCCCGAAAGGCCCGGGGTCCCTTACCAAGGAGCGAAACACGCTGTCGCATCAGCATTTCAGCGTTGTGAATTAATGTTTGAAGGAGTGGTTGCATTATAATATGTTTTAAGTAAAACTGTCCTGGTAGGTTTTGTCCAAAATACACACAAATGTTTCTTCTATTTTGCGTCCACAAATTCTCTGTCTCGTTCTAACGAAAAGCAGATACAAGCGACTGAAAGGGATAGGTATATACTTCAAATTTCTTTTTAAAAAGTACCCCTTCCAGCGTCCTTCAAGATTGAATATAATCGAGCTAATGCAAATATCACGAAACTATGAGTCGTCAGAGAGATTGGACGTATTGTCGGACAAGCATTCGTCGAAGCCGTCCAATTGTGACCGGTATTGGTCACGTCCGGACAATACTAGAGCTAAACTGGGTAATAATGTTTTCAATACACATCTGTACTTATATAAAAAAGTTGAAAAGTGTTTTGTATGTTTGTATGTTAAAAATAGTGACGCAACGGATAAGCCTCGCCATTTGGCCAATCAGGTTTCAATAAATTATCGTTTCGTACGAAAGCTTGGAACTTGATTGGTTGGTGGTCGGGGCTTGATCGATGCGTCACTATTTTCTAACTCGAATGGGCTGTAAGTACATATATACTCAAATTTGACTAATAGTTTATTGGATAAGCACGTTAATTTCTTATGACCCCTGAATGGGACAGAGGGCACAATAAGTGTCTATCACGATTCAAAAGTTTCACGCTTAATTTCCCTCCAAGTCTTGTCTGTTCCAATCTAAGAATTATCGCGATTAATTAGTATTAGATATTGTTGGGGTAGACAGCTGGCTAAACGGCTCGAATGAGCAGGTTTAAATGCACTGGAAATATCGAAGATATCACGCAATCATATCGCTCTCGGCGCTAGTACATTACAGGCCTGTTGGTCCGGACTGCTAAAGCCAGAGATTATGGGTTCGATTCCCACCCAGGACAAAAAAAGGTGTGATGAGCACCGTCATTTGTTCTGTGGTGGGTATAATTTATCTATAACATTTATGTATTTAAAAATATAAAACTACCTATGTTTTTAGGAGTCTGGTTATCATAGTACAGAGGTTCTGCCTAGTTTGGGATCAGACGGCGCCCCCTGTCTGCCCCAACCTTAACTTCACTGACCATTCTCTAATATAGGTATTACAACAAAATCCTATAACGACATGACAAGAACCGGTCCATCCAAATCTTACGCCAACGCATGTGACTCAGCCAAGTATTGGGTGAATTATGAGCTCAAGGGTAAATATAATAGTGATGCGACCAAACACATACAAGATATCGATGCCAATGATTGCGATGAATGTATCAGAAATAACTTCTGGATTAACAGTACTTTGTTGACGAAGAGTGCTGATGATGCGAAACTGAACGGTTAGTTCTATTGTATTTTACTTACGAATGAAAGTTTTAGATTAATTTAAATTGAAAATAAAGAAGGAAAATTTCCATACATAACTGTGGGAGTCAGGCTTCAGCACAAATGCTCGGGCTGATCGGAGTGGTACCAGGGCCTCATAGGAAACCGAAATTAAGTGAATCTTTGGTTGCCTTTCAAGTGAGGTTACCAGAGCCCAAACCTCCCCTTTTCTTGATTCTGCATAGGGAACTCAAAAGGTGACTATTGAGTTGCAGGTATCAATGGGCGGCGGTGGTCACTTGCCATCAGGTGACGCTTCTACTGGTTTTTCCCAATTCCATAAACAAAAAAAAACCAGTGGCCCTCCAGGAGTGCCGACAGAAGTGAAAACTTATATACATAGGTGTCGGTAACGGTAACAGTGTCGCGAGTTCAATGGTTTTTTCGAAAATAGATTATTTTGTTAGTTGCACAAAAATTGCCCAAGTCGCCCAAAGAAGTTTTCACTTCAAAAATACTCCTTCACCTCTAATTGCCATCTTCATTGTAGAACCCGATCACAACAAACGCAAGAAAACCACCTTCCACACCGACTCTTCCTTACTCACCTTCCATAACCTGTCTCCAAACGACCAGGACCAAGACATAGACCTTTCTAACATAGAGGATGAATATAAGTCCCTAGATTCGGAACGCCACCGATATGAGAGGTTCCTAGCCTTCGAAAGAGATGAGAACAGAGAGACAGAGAGATTGGATTTAGAAAAAAGAAGAATTGAAACCGAGGAACTGATGCTGGTCCAGCTCTCTAAGATCATTGCTATGTTGGAACGAAAGATGGAATTTTGAAAATCGGTTAAATAGTTGGTTATAATTTTTGTGAATGACAAACAAAAAGCGGCAATGTAATTTTTTACAGTTTGCCTCAATTTTAAACACTAAGTTGTATTCCCGGATTTGGTAAGTATCTTAATTGCAGCTTGGATTCTGGATATCTTTCCAAAAACTAAAATGAATAGTCCTATAATAGTAAAATATATAATAATAGGAGTCCAGATAGGGCTCCTAAACACGAAGTAGAAGGGTTCCTTTGGGTGAAGGAATCTTTGGAACTTACAGTAGGATCTGAAAAAAATCAGCTACTGATACAAGCACCAGTTTGTCTATTCCTTAAGGGTTGATATCCTTGCCGTCAAAAAAAAATTGTTTGGCTGAGTATTGCAACTTTAAGCCAAGCCATGTTTTTTTTTTAATACGCTTTTATTAGCTTGCTATATATGTATGTAACGGAATCTTCAACGTGATTTTGACGCACAACGTCAAATTAACTTGAAACTTCGCACACTTGTCAAGGACCGATGACAATACAATAATATGATAAATTTGGCCGATTATCCTGATCAGGATCTTCAGGATTAACGGCTTTTACAAACGGTAGTGTCTTCTGCTACGTACTAAGAGGCGTGTGCTGAAGCATATGTCACATACTTACTTGTTACTTTTTTATTCTTAATAAGAAAATAATCATCATTACTAACCAAAAAAACAAAAATAAATTATAGTTTAAAAAAACACGCTTTTGTAACTAGCCGAACTAAAAAGTAGAAAATAATTCTCTATAAGTATCGTAAAAAATCGTGGGGTACTTTTCAAGATATTTTATAATATAACTTTACTTTTACCAATATCTGTAAATAAAATATTTTTACAACAATTGAGACCTAGCACCCCACGCAACCTCCTTTCTAAGGAGAGGCCTATGTTTAGCAATGGACTATTTTAGGGTGTTGATACTCGTATATGATGGTATATACTATAATTTATTTTAAAATTCTTTTGAAAATTCTTCGTTCTAAATTTGCCTATGCATAAATATTTCTCTATTACGAGTATATTTATGATTATTTATAACCGTGAGAAAGCTATTTCGGCACATTAAGACGTTCTTGGCCGGAGTGACCCCACGGCATCAGAAAACAACAGTTAAGCTACTGTTTCTTGTATTTAAGATGATGGTTACTGAAGACCTCCTCTAATTCTGGAGGGGCTAATGAAATCCTAAGAATCATAGCCGATAAATATGACTCGACTGCCTCGGTTGTGCAGTGGTAGCGTATGCGAATGCTGTGCTTTGGTCTCGGACTCGATTCCCGGGTCGGACCAAATGTTTGTATGATTTGCAAATATGTGTTTCGGAGTTTGGGTTTTTCTATGTATAATGTGTATGTATTTACAACAAAAAAGGATATAAGTATTCTATCCGTCAATCTTGCTTTCATAGTACAAGCTCTGCTTAGTTTGAAACTAGATGGCGTTGTGTGTTAGATATCCGAAAGTATAATTATTATTATTATAGTGAAAAACCTTGTCAGAACTTTACTTCTTTAAACTAAACAACAAATAGTAATACTGTTGGCTAACATAGGTTAAGAAAAACAGTATACCAACACTATGCCTGAATAGGTATATTATTATTATTAAAAGTCAGGCCATGGCCGGTGGTAGTTACTCACCTTGAGGTGACCCGTCTGTTAGTATGCTTCCTACACCGTAAGAAACCGCTGAGATGCAGAGCTTCTTCCTCATGAAGTTTTCTTTAGCATAACAAGTTCACGCCACTCAACAGGATCTCAACAATACTGCATAAAATTTCCAAACTTGAATGGCTTCTTAACTTCTGGAGTACCTGGAGATTAAGAAGAGAACATAGTTTTTGTGTGTAATGCTGATATTTTCTTTTTGCAGTTATTTCAGTCTGTAGACGAGGATACGAGCATCAGCGGTGACCATAAAACTCCTTCCAGACAGGTAAATATACGAGTATAAATAAAATAATTATTTAAAAAAAAGACAAAAAACCCGTTTAATTTTTATAATTTTCATATACCCAGTGTCACTTACAGTTAAGAGGAATCTAACGACACATCAAACGCCAAAATACATTAAGCTGTTAAGGCTAAAGAGCGTGCCAAGGAAATATATATATATACATACAAATACACTAAGGGCCGGATTTTCAATCCTCGGTTATACTGTCAGATAACTAACTTGAGAATAAATTTATCTTGCTGTTTATCAAGCGAATAAACTTTTTCTGTTTTTCAATCTGGTGTAAACCGACAGATAGTTAATGGGCTTTCATAGCTAAGTTCACTGTAAACATGCTCAAGCGAGATAAAAATAATAATAATATCGTTTATTTTCTCACCAAAACCAAAATGCATACAATGAAAATACGATTACGCTATAACATTTGACAATTTCGGTAGTGGATAGCTGGTGCCTGAGGTAGGTATATTGTTACAGGACACCAGGTCCCCACTCGGACCTCGTCTTGACATTTCAAAATACCTTTGTGAGGTGGTTACAATATAGTTGTGCAAGCGTACAAAATTTAAGAAAAAAAAAATAAAAAAAATGCAGCTATACTGATAGTAACACGCTAGATTTAGGATCACAAGCTATTAGACAACATGTGTGTCATTCTTTTCTTGTCATTCCTTGTCTGTCAGATAATAAGACAACCTTATTGACGGTGAACAATGGTGCAGTGGTTTGGTAACTGGTCGGACTGCTATTCGAAAGGTCGCGAGTTCGATTTCGCTCCATTCAAACATTTGTGTACATTTACATTTAATTTTTTATTATTTTCATGGTGTTTCTATTTTTAATATTTATTTATTTACAATAAAATATATGAAATAGTATATGTATTTATGTCAGTTGTCTAGTACCCATAATACAAGCTCTGAGGTCTTAGTTTGGAACTAGATCGCTTTGTGTGAATGTGTTATAGAATTATATTATTATACTTCGTGTTACTTTCATATAAAATAGAATCAATTAAGAAACGAGCATTAAGTATGGAAAATCATTACAAGTTATTAACAAATGCATGCTAATAACTTGTAACGAAATTGTTCATTATCACCTGTGATCATCACACAAAGTATTGTCATATCTTTCTATAAAAACCCTTTCTTTTCTCTCAGGACACAGCAAAATTTAAATACTCAATAAGGGTAACGTATATAAACTTTACTACAACAAATATTAGAGACTGTAAAAAAATACACAAAAGTCGAAATCGCTATTCTACAGATTATATCACTAACTGAGGCGTGAAACGACAGATAAAGTTATTCCTCAGATTAAAGCTTTATTTTTCAGATAACAACTATCTGACCATTGAAAACTGACTAACTGTGGAATAAATACTATCTAACTGTTTAGCTGAGGATTGAAAAACCGGCCCTTAATATTTAAATATTAAACTACAAATAATATCCTCTGTTATAACAGGATTTTTCAGACGATCACACAGTTTCAAGAGAACTTAATTAAATGCAGGAACATCACAACTTTGACGTATAGTTTTTGTTAAATAATGATGTATGTATTTTCAGTTGTTTGTTTATTTCAAGCACATTTTGCCAAAAACGCACAATGCCTAATTAATCACGCTATTTTTTTAATGGTATTTGTTTGCAATTATGAGAATCTAGGTATATTTTAATAAATACTGCTATAAATGGTATGCTAATTACTAAGCCGTGTGGTGGAGTGTAACTACCCCTATTCATCACGTGGGTATTGTAAGAGTCGACTAAGAAAGCTAACTACGCAGAACAACAGCACTACAAAGAGGAGAACTTGTAATTAACCCTATAAAAACCCGTCTGGCCAGCGTGGTATAGTAGACCAAAACGTCCTTTCTAAGGAGAAGCCTATGTCCAGCTTATCATCATCAACAGCCTTTAATAGTTCACATAGTAGACAGTGAACTGCTAAAGGCTGTGATGATGATGATGGAGCTAGAGATTGCCTAGCGGTGGAATTTCGTCTACATTAAACCAAATGAATCTCCAGGGAGAAACTAGTAATAATATTTCTTTGGTTCATAGGTCTCTCCTCATCCTCCAGTCTCCGCGTCGCCGTACACTCGCTCCTCATTCTCCAGGACGGAGCGGAATGGAGATCTATTCAGAGCTGATGAACAAGAGAAGTTGTTAAAATAACAGAGAGCCACTCTTGTTGTGCCGCTCACACCCTGCATGTGATAAAGTACAGTATGTTATAACATGACATTTACTACGGCGGCCATCTTGTTTAAAAAATTATATGTGGCTAGTGACTTAAATGTACATACGATAACCGAAATTTCTGATCAGGTTTACTTATACGTGTTACTGTTATGCTTCAAAATCTTCATAGTGGTATATGTCAGTGACTAGGGTATTTCGTTTGTCGTATGTATATACACATACAGCAAAAATATATTTCAACGCCATCTAGAAAAGACTGGCTGAACTACGTAGTGATTACTTTGTAGTGAACTATCTTGCCCTCCTCTGATGTTCTATGTCTAGGTCAGATATTTTGTTTCCCTTGGGTTCGAAATCGGTTTCCGGGAGGTCGTTATAAACGAAAACTGATTTTTGGGGGACGATGAGGTCTAAAAATCGACCCCTATTAATTAACACTAGTTCTTAATTGAAACTTTCTAGAATCTTGTTATAAGAATGAAAATGACTAATATTTTAATAGGCAGTATTATTGTTGTACTTTTAAAAAACTCAACTAGTTAATGAACGTGCAGTAATTTGGCTATGGGGGTCTGAACTATCAGTTCATTTTAGAAAAGGGGTCTCTTGGCCAAAAAGTTTGGGAATCCCTGGTCCAGATGAAAGTGTCACACTACAAAAAAACTAAAACAAGCATACCAACTTTATTATGCTATAGTGACAGTACACAACGATAGTAAATATGAACTTAGTGGCCAACAGTTGGACACTATTTTTTTCCTCGCTTTTACAGCTTTGACAGTCTATCTAAACATATAAATGATCTAAGGGTCTGAACTCTTATTCTACAGAGAATATAGTAAAACGTGACAGATAAATAAGGGGGGGGGGGGGGGATTATTTAGATTGGTCCAATAACTTGTTATATTTTTGCTGTATCTAAGTGTTGCCACGGTTAATTAATTTTTATTACCCTATGTCGTCTAATACCGTATCTGCTGTACCTTAAATTATTTCTTAAGTTATTGCCAAAGAATTTAGTATTGTGGGTTCGATTCCCACGTTGAACAAAAACTTTTCTGAGACTGGGTGTACTTTAATTATTTTATTTATTAAGTTGTAAACAATGAAAGTTTACTAGTATAATAATATTAGTATGATCATTTGAATGTGTACTTAATTCAGTTGACACTAACAAGTTCCAGCTCCATGATAAAGGATCCTTGTTGGGTTGAGACTTTGTTAAATCGACCGTGTAATAATAATATAATCGGCCAAAATGGCGGTCGATGTTAATAGATGTGTTTTATTTTATTATTATTTATTTTTCTCTTGTTTTGTGTTGTCACAAAGCTATTATTCTTATATACAGGGTGTTACAGAAACTTGTGATCATAGTTTAGGGTCGCCTAGTTGACCCTATGAATGACGTAATGAGCTATGAATTTTAGAATTTTCGATTTTTAATAAAAATATGTCATTTTGCGGCTGATTGATTTTCACTCGGATAATTGGCACTTTACAATTGTGCGCTTTTCAAGATACTAGGCCTGGCAAAACCAATTAGTTTAACAAGTTATCGTCTGCGTTATTTCCGGGCCGATATAAGAACCTTCAAAAAAACAGCGTGCTCCTTCCTCAAAAGCCGGCAACGCTCTTGTGACTCCTGATCGACTTGTAGATGTTCATGGGCGGAAGTGGTCACTTTCCATCAGATGCCCCGTCTGCCCGCTCTTCCATAAAAAATATAGCTAAAAGATACTAATTGTCAGCTGCACATAAGGTTTCTAAAATTTGATCCCAATTTTCAGTAACACCCTATATATCTTGTATTAATAACTAACGTATACAAAGAATAGATCTATTTAATGTATAACAAATATATTTATGTACATGTGTATATAACTCAACTACTCCTTCCGTAGAACCGGCAATAAAACAAATATGGCCGACAATTGAGAGCTGTAAAAAATTTGTCATTAGTTTTAGTAAAAATAGTCATTAAATATTAATAATATTTATTGCACCTTCGGTAAGACAGAACCATATGACAGGAGCGCCATTTTGAATTAATTTTGACAGATCGGTCTAGCGGTTAGTGATCTTGACTGCTAAGCCGGAGGTCGTGGGTTTGATTCACACCCAGGACACATAATTGTGTGATTAGCACGATTATTGTTCTGTGTCTGGGTATGTTTATCAGCAGTCTGGTTACTATAGTACAGGCTCTGCCTAGTTTGAGATCAAATGACATGTTTGAAGTTATTATTATGTTATTTACCTTTGTGTTACCGAAGGTGGGTTATGAAAAATGTATTAACATAGAATCTCGAACCAACGACGTTATAACTGTGGTACTATTATTGTGACAAAAATGTTAAGTGTTTAAATTAAAATCCCAGTGATTAGGTTATATGTATATCCCCCAGGTGTTATCACAGGCTTAAAAGCTTACATTTTGCTGACTGTAATTTTAGTAGAGCGAGAATAGGGTTAGATTTTTAGGTTCAAAATAAATTATTTCGGCTTCATCATCGTCATCATCAGCCTATCGCAGTCCACTGCTGGACATAGGCGTCTCCCATTGCACGTCACTTAGATCGATTTTGGGCTTCTAGCATCCAGCTCCTGCCAGCCATCTTGCACAAATCGTCACTCCACCTGGCCTGTGGGCGTCCTACACTACGTTATTTCGGCTTATTTTCATTAAATGTCACATCTTAAAGTACAGCCTGAATTGTCCTCCAATATCGATTCAATGTTTTTATATCTTAAAATCAACATTAAATATAAATGATTTGACAATGGCTACGTGTGACGTCACACCTTTGTATTTCATACAAAAATGTATCGGTTTGACGTTTAATGAAAAGATACTGATTTGACTTAACAGCCATTATGCAGCTTACAGGCATTGAACCTTGAAGCGCGTGGCGATTCCTATTTTTGGAGTATACTCCTTAAGATTCGATTTTAATATAAGGCGCCCGGTATAATATGAAGAGTAAAATTTAGTGATCGAATAACCTCGTTACGTTTTTTGTGCGCAACCTATCATGCGCACTTTTTATATGTGTATGTATAACTTGTATACTTGTGTGCAGCCCAATCGTTCTTAACGAGTAAACTCCAGTCGTGCGTCGGAGCTGACACACACACACACACTTTTTTTTCGAAGGCCTAGAGTACTTAATTAGTGACAATAAATGTTTTTTTTTTAATATACATACATATAAAGCATTTTAGTGTAGGTTTGTAAAACATTCAAAGATTAAAGGCTAACTGCTATGGTGCCCCATATACAGCAGATTAAGTACCAATAGATATAGTAATCTATATATCATGTAGTACCAGTTATTTTCTACAAGTTTTAGTTTACTTATAAACATTCTTATGCCACTAGGGTTTCAAACAACCGTACAATAATGTATGTATAGATATATAATTATGTATAAAGGAGTTAACGCGATCTCGTAATATATATTAGATACCATTGAATTGTCAGATGTTTAGACCAGATTGTACTAGCTGTGGTCACAGGCTGAGTGAGGCATGCCCATCATCGTCGAGTCCGTGAGGCTCTTCATCTAATCGCATATCTGCTAACTTTTCTTGCCGCCATATAGTCCAAAGTATTTATTGCATCAAGTGTACATTTATTCAGAAGGCCATTTTACATAATAAAATTATTGTGGTGTTTAATTCATATTTTATTATCTTTCTGGTGGTTTTGAGTATTTCCACGGCCTACCCCAATGTCCTGCTGGCGGTAGTGTCATGCTTCGGGTCGTTGATCTTGACCAATATCGGTTAGGCTACACGATGGCTGGAGCCTGTATGCCGTCTGTATGGACAGGCTGACTCAAAACTATGGTCCTTTCCTCAAAAGGCCTATCCAGACCCTATACTGTACTCGCACAGTTTTATTTAACTTTGTTTACGGACTTAAAAAAAAAGACACCTCTGTGGTTTTTTTCGGCGTTTCTTCTCAGAGTGAGTCTTAGGAAATGCTGGCTCCTTCTAGGTATAAAGTTCGACTTGTAAAAATATCTGAAAAGATTTACTTACAGAAATAAATATCATTTATTACTAAGACTAGCAGATTATTGATTCATATCACAAGGACTCGGCTTGTAACCACGCCTTTTTTTTTTTTTTTTTTTTAATTGGGACTAATCCCACCCACACGCCCACCGCTGTAACTCCTGTACACCAGGATCCACAGCAGTGACCCACGAACACACCGAGTTATGACACTCGGGAAGTCCCAGGAAGAAATTAAACTGTCTTGGAACCCGCAACGAAATTAATCAGAAGAAAATTGGAGGAGTTGGAAATACAGTAAATCCACTTCCCTCCTTAGCAAAGCGGGAGACAAAATGAAGTAAAAAGGGCATACACCCTTTTAAACAGGGAAGCACCACGGCCACAAATATTACGGGTCCTACGTGAGCTATGTTTGATTTCTATAATATGTATGGCAGAATCGCCTAAACGCACGGACTTGTAACCACGCCTAGTGCAACTGGTCAAAACGTCAGATAATTCAAAGATTATATAATAACAATTATGACGCACGGATATCGTAGTGGTTTAAGCGTCACCTCTCCACGTCCCACTGAGAGGAGTATTGTGGGTTCGATCCCCACATGGAACAACAGTTTGTGTGATCCAGAAATTGTTGTTCCAAGTCTGGTTGTTTTGTGTGTCCGTTTTCATGTATATCTGTAAAGTCCACCGCGACACAGGATATGTACCTAGTGCGGGAGATATTGTCTTTTTAAAAAAGAAAAAAAAGATATGTACATAAATGATAATAATATAAAACGTAAAACTTTAAAAATTAGCAAACATAATTGTCGTCATTTCATTGTCGTCGTTAAGGAATCAAATGATGTCCTGAAAATACAGATCAAATTAACAGAACTATGTTTTTAATATATTTTACAAAAAAATCACTTACGGTGTAGACCAGTTATGTAGGTAGTTACCTG